GAAAATAACTCAAATATACTTATCTTTAATAATAATATAATTGGTACTATCTTAAAGTAATTCAGTAAACCAAAATTGATATATTGATACGACAAAATGTAATAATACAATCAATTTTGTTAAATTTGTAATTAATCATTAATTAACTGTCCATAAAATAATAAATCTAATATAATTATCGTACTTGGCATAAAAAATTAAACTTCTAGAATCTTTTTTTAAACGAATATGCGTTTTCCAAAAAATAAAATGAAAATAAATAATTAAAAATCAACAAAATCAGTTATAACGTATTTTAAGACTTTCACATGTTTTTTACTGTATGTAGTGTTTTTGTGGGCTATTTATTGAGAAAACAACATTGAAGTTATTATTTTTGAATTACTTGTACAATTTCCTTTACTTGAGTTTTACTTTTATAATTCTAAGTTAAGAGAAAAAGAAGTTACGAGACATAGATCAGTTATTTCTATTAAATTTGACTCTTCGACTCAACTTAATAGGCCCGGGGGCATGGGTTAACCTTAACGGATCGGTCCCATATTTTGCACAGCTCATTTTTTTGACCATTAAAAAAAAATTAAGGGGTAGCGTAAAAAAAAAAAGACATTCGATTTTTGAGGGCCACCCTACTGTCATGTACAACTTATAACCTTAAAAAGTATTTTTATTATAGTTACAATATATTTTTATATCACCAATAATATAGGTCAATTTTTAACTCAAAGGGGATGTCACGGTGATGGGATCACCGATTTTCAAAAAGTAGTATGAATCTAATTTAAATTGAATATATAGTTGCGCTTATTTTGAATTATTTGCCAATGCCTTCCCTAAACGGAAAAAAATGGCTTTGAAAGTTTTAACTTCCTTAAATAGCCTTTTTATCGTTTTGTTATGAAGTAACCTATGGATCAGTTGGGAATGCGTGTAACTCTAGAAATCGTAGTACGAGGTTCTAATCCCGTGAGCAGGTTAAATTTTTTAATTTTTTTAAATATATTACGAGAATTTGAGAATATTAAAAATATTCTGGTTATATTCTAGAAATTTTTTAATATCAAAAAGAAATATTCTAGAAATATTTAATTTCTATGTGGGTAAGTAAAATTTTTTTCCATCCCAAAGTTCAAGAGAGAGCGTGAAATTTAAAAAAAATTGAATGACAACTCTATATCTATGAAAATTTCGTGGGAAATACCGTAGCGATGTTTATTTTTTATTTAAATACAATTTGATGTGGAGAAACCGGTAAACCCTTAATTTTGGATATTTAATTTTTTGATTTCCCTATTTTTAGGTCCTGCTAAATATCACTTTACTACTCGTGATTTGAACCAATACTCTGTATATGATATTTTTTTCGTATCACATTATAATTGTTGAAAAATCGAATTGATATTGAAATTGTTTTGTACGAGGCAGCTAGACCGTAGGATGTATAGTTGTGCATCGCACTAGAATGCCGTTTTACTTTAGCCTGTTTAAATCGTTATTATTGAAGCGGGAATGGGTCACCTGTGGGATAACGGCTAACTGTAAATCCAATAAGTAACGAGAGTAGACAATAATTAAATAAAGAATAACCATATATATGAGAAATTCTTCAGAGAGTATCTTAAATTTAAGGGGTAGTGGGGTACCCTTAAATACTAATGGCCGGCGAAGCGGCAAAAACAAAAATAGTTGAACTCAATTAAAACAATCAATAAATAACATTAAAAAATAATATAAAACTCAGCTGTACAGATGAAGTTGTTGATAGTGATGAGTGGACTGTATAAGCTCTTGAGGTAATGGTGTCGAACATCTGAGTATGACGAGTCAGAGTGTAGATCCAAGTACGTAATGGCAGATGAGAACAGATCGCCAAAAAGCGTCTACGGCAATGAAGATATTTAGTGATGATCAGGACACAATCACTAGTGGCGTATAAAGGAACGAAAACTTTGAGCACAAGGATGCAATAAACAAATAAAAGAATAACGGCGTACAATGGCTAAACAATTTACAATTCAAACGAAGGCGCTTACTACAAAAAAAAAAAAAAAAATTACTCATAAAACAATTGACCGACTTACGATAATGAACTGTACACGGATGACAATTGACACGGAGGTCATCGATTTGCCGTGCTGGGTGTGCAAAGGGGTGAGTGAAGCAAGACGCTGGAGATCAGCTGTTACACGATATAGTATAATCAACGATGTTTGTAACAACTGGTCTACTAGATCTTTACTAAAGGTATTCTGTAGCAAACAAAAATACTACTCCTAATTTTCGACTGAACTTCTTATTTTTGTTTAACTTGAGCATTTGGATAACACTGAATTGATTTAGAATTTAATAAACTATGTTCAAATACTTTGAATCATGTATAAAAATGAATATTATAAACATAAGAAAAATGTGTTTGGATAAAAAAAAAAATCAATTAATCATTTAAAATTTGTTTAAAAAAACTGTTCGTTGAAATACTTTATAAAATAGTTTAAAATAGAAACAAATGCTATTTAGTATTAAAATACTACATTTTTATTGAAAACGTTTTTAAATAAAACAATTTTTTTTATACTTCATATGAATTCATTTCTTAGTTTTAATTCAAACAATTCGAACATTTGCTTGCTTACATTCATTATATTTGTATTTTAAGTGTCACAGAATAAATTAAAAATGATTAGTAATAATTATTTTTTGCCTGGTTTTTTGAAAAATATTTTTGTTATACTTGTTTTAACTAATATAGCTTTCGCAATGAATGATGAAATAGATATACAAGTAAGTTTAAACGTTGTATTAAGATATTTATTGAAATGAGGCATCCCCTTTTCTGTATACTTTTTTTTAGTATTGATGTACAATTGATATATGTAATTTTTCTAAAAATTAGCAAGACTCCTTATAAATATTTATTCATATATGTCCCACCAATGACGGTAAATTGGGAGGTTAGTAGCATAGATCCTCCCTATTGACAAACCCTTTTTGTTCAATTTTTATTATATATATTTTATTTATATAATTTAATATAGTTATTTAGTCAACTTAATACATGAAAAATTAATGAGCAAGAAAAAATTATTACTGAATTACTACAAATTTGAGAGATGTTAAATCTTAGCTTTCATCCCTTTCCATGGTAAATTAGTTTGACCGCCACTGTTTACCATTAGGTATTAACATAGTTAAATAATGAATAATTATGACAGTTTTGGGTTACGTTAAATCCATATTTTTTAGTATTTGTCTATTTTATATCTTAATATGTTTCAATTACGTTTGACGCCATTTGACATCAGATCAAATATCAAATATAATTTGACTTTTATTAATATTAAAAATTTTATTAGAAAACAAGTAATCTTTTATTTTAATCCTTAAACTGTTTATTATTGCATTATTGTTACTGCTTTTGGTAAGTAAACACAGGTTATTTTTCACTTCTTCTAAATCACTACTTGCGAGAAGACATGGAAAAGAGATAAACGTTATCACTTCAGTTATATTACCAAGTTCGTACGACTGGTGGAGCAGCGTTCGCGTTTTCTCTTTGCTATCTATCGTTATTTTCGCTAATCGTCACATTATATATTATATTCGACCAAACACGATAGCGATGGTTAAATGCGACCAGTTTTATGCGTCATAACGTAGAGCTAAGTAAGCACGAAGTTTATGGCTTCTCTCTTTTAGATTCCCGTAGATAGAAAACAAACCTTGGTTCAAATCCCTTTCAGAGTGTTAAAAAATAAAATAAAATCGCCGTCGTCGGAGCGAAACATGTCATATAATAAATTGTTGGGTCGGTACTCAGACGTGTGACTATTTTTCTAATATCCAATGCTGGTGAAAAAAAATTCAACAATAAAAAAAAATTACGATAATTACAAATACCGTATTTGACATTACTGTTAGGTATATATAAAATTAAATTATAATAAAAAAAAAATGTTTGCATATTAATGTAACACATTTTATCAGAGATTAATTTGAGTTGTCTGTTACTTCTAAATATCAAACAAAAACTGAAGCTTAATTTAATAATGAATACATTATAATATTTTATTTATCTTGTTGAATTTTTTAGCCTCCTGATTATAACAGTATTTTTGACTATTCATTTTTACAAATAATAAGTACATTTGAAAATAATATCGCAACATGGATTCAAGTAAAATATAAAAAAGACATTAAATACTCACTAAGTTTAGATGATATTATATTATTATCAAAGGCCTGCAAAAATGATTATATTTGTAGAAAAAATAAAATTAATAGTTTAAACAACTTAAAAACAATACTCGAATCTTTGGAATGTTTTCATGTTTTTTTAAGTCTCCAAATATTAAATATTTTTGATAACGATATTACGAAAAAAAAAGAAAATCCAAATCATAAATTCAAATTAGGATATCAACATGTAAGAGATTACGCGGTAAGAATGTTGTCATTTTTTACTTATGGCAAATTTGTAGTTAACAGTTGGCAGTTTCTCTTTTCAATGAAAGTTATTGATATGGTAAGACTTGAAAAAGATAAGCAAAAATCGTTTGAAGACATATTAGTGTATATTAATAATTCATCGTTATTAACATCTATGAATGAGTTTTGCGAAAATTGTAAAACATCTAGCCAATTCTTCGCATCATTTTCTTTAAATTTATCTAAAATTTATCAAGACATACCTGATCCATTCAGTATTCCTGGAAATGTTAAATCATATATAACGAATATGTTGTCGAGAGTAAATATTGATTGTGTAACTAAAATGGATAGAATATCTCATATGTTAATAAAAAAAGGTAATTTTATATACATTTTTTTGAATTCATTTAATAATTTAACACTTAACATTAGCCATGCACTTTAAAAGTACTTGAACTTTTTTTTTAAATCCTGGAACTATAAAATTTTAATTTTTATAAAAGCGATAATAGTTTTTATCTTGTTATCAACATGTAAGATATTACGGGGTAAGAATGATTCCATTTATTACTTATGGTAGGTTCTTAGTTAATTATATAGTTTCTCTTTTAAATGAAAGTTAGTAATATGATAACATTGGAAAATGGTAACGATAATTCGTTTGAAGACATTTTGAAATATTTTAATAATCCTTCATTATTAACATCTTGTAACAAAGTTGTTGTGTATTTGAAAAAAGTCATTTTCCTTATTAGATAATTTTCTATTTTATAAAATGGCTATTTTATATTATGCAAGGGCGATCACTGATGTTTTTCACCATTTTCCTATTATACTTAAAGCAACTGTTTTCTTTTAAACTGTGACAAGTACACTATAAAATATAGTATATCATCTACTTTTTGCAAAAATATCAAACGCTAATACTATAGAGAAAGCGCATCAAAATAGATTATTTAAAAACTGTGACAATCAACTTTACTTAAGGTTTAACTGACAAAAAAAGATTAAACTTTATTATAAACAAAATAATATATTTTTTTTTATTAAAATATTTCATAAAATTACCATTAAATAACTTAATTGGTAAATAGTCATTACTTATTACCTATTAGAAATAATCATTTTAGAAGTATATAAAAAAAGAAATTTTCAGCTTGCAAATTATATTAAAATTAGCTGCACAAGTTTTGTGACAACTAGCCTTATTGCACTACTCGAAATAAATGTTACCATAAAGTCTTATCACTTAAACATACAACTGAAAACCATACAAAAAAAAGATATCTTAAGACACTGCTTATTATAAACGAAGAAACAAATACCATAACAATAATAAATAAAAACCTAAATTTAATTGAATGTATGCGAAAAATGTTCCTAACAAACTAAAACTTAGTTTTTTGTATACCATATTAGCAGTATAATCCTGCTTCTTTCTAATACTAAAATAATTACAACTGTAGTGACAATATATGTTTGAATTAGGATAACCGATAATATTAAGTTTGGAACAATAAACATTGTGACAATTAGCCTTGGTCTCTTTTATCATTTTACTCGTGGAAAGGTGATAAGAATGTTTCCACGGCTCCTTTGCTAATCGTAATAGGTGACTAATGAGGTCGCGTCAAGTCGACAGCTAGCGTAAAATTTTGTCAAAAAGTATAAGGAATCCTGAACAGTACATAAGTGTATTGTCCCATATCGGATGTACGCGGAGACAACAGGTGAGACGAAATAAAGTAGTTAGAGACGATGTAGGCCTTTAAAATAATTATCTGTTGAGAGAATATGAAAGAGTAAATGGAGGATATGGTTTTAGTAGGAAAATGAAGTTGAGGAAATTAATCAAAGGTTAGAGGTGTGAAGATGACCTCTTGAAAAAAAGTGTTTAATAATAAATAGGAGTAAGACAGATTATATAGAGTTCGAATTTAACAAAGAAAACACGAGGTAGGTGAAACGAGGTGATCAGTAACAATAAGTGAGGACGTGATAAGAGAGGTGGAAAGTTTTAAGTATTTAGGGTCAGCTATGCAAAAGAGTGGTGGCATTGACGAGGATGTAATACACAGAATTAAGTGCGGGTGGTTGAAGTGGAGAGAAGCCTCTGATGTATTATGCGAAATTTCAATGAGGCTGAAAAGTAAGTTCTATAAAACTGTAGTGAGACTAGCTATGATGTATAGTTCATAGTGTTGAGTCGTTAACAAGAGAACAGAGCAGAAATGAGAATGCTTAGATGGATGAGTGGAAAAACTAGAGAATAGAGGATAAGGAATGAACATATAAGAGGGTGTATAGATTTAACGTTAATCGTGAATAAGACGAGATAAAATACACTGATTATTTTGTCATGTTACGAGAAAAGATCAATTGGAAGCTGTAAGATCAGTTATGGAAGTGTAGGATAAGGGTAGTCCTTATCCCATGTAGTTGGGATAAAGGCGAGAAAAAAGAAGATAACCACAATATTTTTTATTTACGAGAAATCTCGGAATGCTGAATACATTATAATTATGCAGAATGTCTCTTCGTAATTCACTAATTTGATTATATTAACTAATGTTAAAATCAGTAAACCACGGTGGGACACCTTATACAGTATATCATTGTATATAATATGCTATTATATGAAAATTTTCAATTCAATCGTAGTAAGTAGACATATTTGGACTTTTTTATTTTACACTATTCTGTTTTATTTTTTAGTAAATTACTTTTTATTTCATTTATATGGATATAGCAAACCAACAAGAAATAGAAATTCATCCAGATTTTGAAAAAAAAAAACAAGATATTCTTAAGAGTCTTAAATTGAATAAACTCGAAATTGAAAGTTATGAGAAAAATACTGTAAGTGGCTCACATTGTTATATAGGAGAAGAGAATCTAGGAAAACGTCTTCGGGCTACTTATTTTTACCGCGCATGTACAATAAATCTAACAACATGTGAAGAGAGATTATTAAAAAAAGTAATGTACACTAATAAGAAAAAAGAAGTCATTATAACCGATGAAGACGAAAACAATTTGTAAGTAATGATACAAAAAAATTTATAGAATTTACTTAGAGTAGTGAATACGTGATCTGTCAATTTCAACATATTGTGTTTAATCTTGTTCAAAATATTTGATCTATTTAATAAATCAATATTGCGGTCCATTCGTGGCTATTGGATATAAAATATTCAAATAAAACTGAATTTTAAACTATTTTGAAAGGACTTAAAAGCGTAATTAATTATTTGAAGCATAGATGCATTTATTTACCATTCCAATTGTTTGTTCATTTTCTATTTGTCATTCATTTTTCTGTGTTACAGTTGTACTTAAATATCAAATTGTTTTAATTTTATTACTCTTATTGTCCTATAGTCATTGTTTCCGCTACAGAAGTGTCACCTAGAATCTAGGTCCTAGATCATTGCTAAACTTTCATATATTGTGCTTTCTCCAAGTGGAGATCTAGTAGTCCTACTTTTTTTGACGATTTTATTAATTGTCTATTAGTATACCACTTTTTGTTCTTTTAACTGTAGCAAGACTATATTTCCACATAGGCGAGCAACCGTATTGTATTTATTCTTTCTTCATTTCTTCCAATTTTCCAATCTTAACTTAAATTAAAAAAAATATGATGAAAAGGTATGACCCTGACTAAATCCGGTACTTATCATCATTATCATTGCAGGGCTGGCCATTGACTTGTTGAAAAGTTAAAATTAAGTTAAATAACTCGTTATTTTCTTGAGAGTTTTAACTTTTAATTTATTTTGTTATTGTTTTAAATCTAATAAATTGTTAATTACAAGTTAATTTAGTGTAGTATTACTAAAATTACGTAAAATTCACGATTATTTTGTCAATAATTGTTCAATTATTTTCAATTGGTCTAATTCTTTTTAGTAATTTCTATTAAATGTATATTTTGAACAGTCTAAACAAAAAAATTATTTGGTATAATACTGGGTTTCAAAATTTTCAGTTGATCAGTGAACACATCACATTGAAATAATAAAATATTTCTCATCTTGTTTATTACGCTACATTATTCCGTATGTTAATACTAAATAAGCGACAAATACTCTCTTCTTATATTCAAAACATATGTATAAGTAAAAAAAAAAAAAACAAAAAAAAAATTAAATTACTACGAGGCAAAAAACCGAATGGTCAAAAAACCTCGTCTACAAATTAAAGGGGACAAAGAAAGAGAAAAAAAAACAGATATTAATAAAAAAAATAGTTACACCTACACTTTTATTATTAGAGAATACGATGAACGTCTTCGGATACCCACCGGCTATTAATCGCGGTATTACCACTAAGCACGGCGGGTATACGTCCCAAGTAAGCGACTGGTTTTTGGCAGTTAGACTTAGCTTGCAAGACGTTGGGATTCCCCGGGATAAAATGCACTACGTCACCAAATTGTACTAATAACATATTTATCACCCAATAAAATATAATATAAAACCTATAAAAAAAATATATATGTTATATATATATATATTGAGGGACCCAAACAAAAAAATAGGGGCACCTAAAAAAAAATTTAATAATAAAAAAAATCGCCACACGTGCTTATGGCACGGCGCACTAATAAAAAAAAATTCTGGCTCAAAAACATTAAAACAAAACGTATACGTTACCAGCCCCTAAGGGCTCAAGAAACTGGAGGCAGGTTTAGCCGACGCCATTAAACAAAAAATTTACATACTACAAATTTATCGGACACTCACGTAAAAAAAAATGTATATATATAAAAAAACAGTTGTAGCGCACACAACAAAAATTACGACCGCTACGGACGAAAATTAGCGACGACCAGTTCCGATGATGGCTAATTTTCGACAAAACGTCCGGCGTTTGACCCGACGGTCCGTTTAGAGTAGGGGTCAAAAAAAAAAAACTTAATACCCAGTGCCGGAAATTATTAAGAACAATTTAAATCATATGGTGACAATGTATGCGGTGAGCAGTGCAAATGACGGGGTGAATGTACACACAAATGCCGTCCATGAACCGGTCTGAAGTAGTACACAGCTGACTATCTCGCGCGCGCATAAACTGATAAACGCCGTCGCAGTACGCATTCGTCTCAACACAAATATATATATACATATATACAAATAAACAAAAAAATAAATAGATACTTTTTGTCACGTTACAACTTAACATAGGTAATAATTATAAAGACATAATGTGTATTCGAAGTTGGTTAGGTTATATCAAACAAATACAGTGTTGCCACATAATACAACATAACACTTTATAGTTACTGCAGACTTATTTCTTACTTTTTTTATGTATCGAGCAATAGAGTGTCCTATCAAGTTTTGATAGCTTTAATAACTTTAGATCTAGAAATACTCTGTGTTACTTATTTTTTAAATAATTTTATAGTTTTAATGTTTTTATTAATTATAAAAATATATCTACTGGGTGATTTTACATTTATCCTCTTTTGTCCGAACACTATAGAAATGTACACTAGTACGAGTTGTATCTACCCGTGCTACATACCTATTCTGTTATTAAAATACTAGTATCTCATTAATTGCTTATAATAAAGTTTTTAATGATCCATTGAAATTTTTTGTAAGAAAATAGCTAAAAAATTAAAATTTTTAGATTTCTAAAAATTTATTTTTATTATAAATAAATAATAAAATATATATTTTTAAATTATTCAAAAACTGTAAAAATTATTAAATTAGCTCACTCCCTTCTTAGTATAGTTGTCAAGTCCTATAATTTTGTTCTTTTCTTATTTTATATTCTAAAAATACTTTTTCAATTCACATTTTAAAATGCTTGAATTTCTCTCCTATTTTACTCTAATGATTCAATTTTTTTTACAATTGTCAGCATCATTTAGTCATCTATCTCTTAATATTTTTATTACAAATAAATAATAAAATATATACTTTTAACGATTCCATAACTGTAAAAATGAGAACAATGAAAACAATGAAAACAATAGAAACACTCTCCTTACTTAATGAACATCCTATATATATTCATAACATGCACAAGTATAATTTTTTTTAATTACTTTGAATTTAATTTTTAGTTATCGTAATAAATATGGCATAAATAGCGAAAAACTAGCAATAAATGAATTTAATAACAAAATGAATGTAAATATTCAACCATGTGGTGTATTTATTGATGAAAATTTAAACTATTTGGTTGCAAGTCCAGATGGTTTGATTGGAAAGGATGCTATTGTTGAAGTTAAATGTCCTTTTAATGTCAGAAACATGATTCCTGAAGATGCCATTAAAAATAAAAATATAAGACACGTTTTTTTTGATAAAAATGGAAATCTATTACTCAAACGCCATTCTCAATATTTTTATCAAATACAAGGAGAATTGCATATAACAAAAAGACAGTATTGTTATTTTATAATTTGGACTCAAAAAGGTATTTTTAGAGATTGGATTTTGTATAAAAAATCAGAAATTATAGTATTTTATTCTTATATAATAGTATAAGTAAATTACTAAAATATGGCCTAAGGTCGGGCTGCAGTAGCATGCAAAACCTTTTCCCTGGTAGCATAACAATATTGGGAAGGATTTTAGAATACCTGATTGGGAAGTTAGTCAGTTATGGAAAGTTCCAAAACAATGTTCAATATTTCTAAAGGACTTTCGTCAAATAATATCCAAGGACGGGTAATTTTGGGAAATGTTTACTGTTTCTTGATTTCGCTTGCGGTTTACTATTATTAAAAAGATATTGAAAATATTTTAATATTTGGTTGCACCCCATTTTAATTTTTTTAGAGACGGATATAAGGAGTCTTTATCCAATTCCCTTTTAAAAAAATTCACAAAATTTAAATGACCGTTTCTTGTTCTTTTCTGGTATATTTATTATTAACTTGTAAGGAACATATGCACAAATAAAAACAATAATTAAAAAACCAGTGTATGTTACGAGTACGCACGGATTAAGTGAATCTTCTTTCGTTATGAAGATATAGCGTGAAAATTGCATCTATTGTGGTTCTTGAAAACTTTTTTATGCACAATTAAAAGTATTTGAAATTAAATTACTTAATTCATTTTAAATAAAATGACTTAATTTTCGAAAATAGATTGCTAAATTATAATATAAAATATACTCACCGCCAACCGTCATGCTCGATAATAATTTTTTTTCGGACCCTCTGTAAAGATGTTTTACTTATAATACACTTATTTCACAATAATACAAATAACAAACTTATATTGATTCAAATGTATATGATAAAAATTCATGTATTGAATTTGTAATGCATGAGAATAATTGTAGATAAAATTATATTGATACATGAAGCTATCAAATACAAAAATTTAATAAAAAAATTAAAGAATTTAACAAGAATATTTCTAAATATTATAATTTAAAATTTATTACTTTATTAATATTAGGAATGGTTTATGCAACAATTACGCGTGATGACAAATTTTGGAATGATAATATGGAAAGTCAACTAATTAACTTTTATGAAAACCGCATGATACCTGAATTAATCAATTCTCAATTATTTGAAAATAATGAAAAACAGTCTAGCTAATATGTTTTTTTATTTAAAAAATTAATTATTTACTGATTATATTTGTTTAAATATTCAGAGTGATTATTTATCAGAACCAACTCAATTACTTACAGAATAAAAATAATTTTTTTTTTTACCTTTAGTTAGATATTATCTTGAATTATTAGCTATGTAATAATTTTTAAGAACCGGTAATAAGTATCGATTCCATTAGTAGTTTGACTACATTTACACTCACATCATGCACCCGACATCCTGGCACAACTAAAGCAGACTTTTAAGTCATCTGTGCTGAGATCCAAAGCTTCACCACCAATAACTCCTCCATCAAGCAACATAAAGTCAGTCCCCGGTTCCACGTCATCAGTCCAATCATCCACTGAATAGAACTGCAAAGAAAAGAAGTAATAGCAAATGGTGGAAAATAATGAAAATCAATATAGCCAATATGTTTTTTTGTTTAAATACTGAATAATAAGTTGATTGTATATTTTTAAAATTTTTATTTTACTAGAATTCAAATATCAGTTTTATTTAAAATATAGGTAAATGCACAAATTATGGATTTTTATTTTTATGTTCATTCTTTACGATATATAAAAAGAGAAACTTTATTTTAGCTTCTTTGCGTAGTTGAAACTATAATAATTTTGTAATGATGCAAAATTTTAATTATTATGGCGAAATTTTCTCTGCACTTCTGCAAGAAGGGTTAGAGATAATCTTCTCTCATCTTTGCAAAATATTTAGAGATTGCCTTGCCAATGGTTATCAACGAGATAGCTGACGAAAGGTCAGAGTGGTGTTTATACCCAAACTTAACCGCACTAACTATTATGAAGCAAAATTCTATAGGCCAATAAGTCTTATTTTTTTTCTTCTTAAGACTGGAGAAACTAATTGATAGGTACAACAAGTAAGGGCCTCTAAAAGAGTACCATTTACATGAAAACATGCGTACCAAACAGGGAAATCTACTGATACAGCACTACACTGCCTAACGACTAAGATAGGGAAAACTGTGAAGAATAAAATGTATGCAGTAAGTATATTTCTGGACATCACAGTGGCTTTCGACAATACTCTCTTCAATGCTACGTGTGAATCTGCTCAACAGCATTGAATAGAACCACATATTACTAAGTGGATAGAAATCATGCTTAAGGAACGCTCCATTATAGGACAGCTCAATAAAACCAGACTAATCAAGAGTGTTAAACAGGCCTGCCTACAAGGTGGGGTTCTATCTCCCTTGCTATGGTGTCTAGTATTGAACTCGCTTATTAGGGAGTTAAACAAATACTGTTATACACAAACCTATGCGGATGACTTAGTTATAGCAGTGGTGGGTACATTCCCAGACACTATTAGTACATCAGAGACTAAACACTATACATATATGGTGCAGTACGTATGGTCTATCTGTTAATCCAAATAAAGCAGAGGTTGTTATGTTCACTAGAAGGAGAATAGGACTAGACAGTCTTGACACTCTTACTCTAAATGGACAAGTAATTAGCTTAAAATCGGAAGTAAAATACTTAGGTATTATCTTAGATAGTAAGCTAAAATGGAAATCACATGTTGAGTCAAGAATCAAAAAAGCAATGACCACTTTGTGGACTTGTAGCAGAGCATTGGGAAAAACATGGGATATAAAGCCAAGAGTTATGTATTGGTTGTACACTTCAGTGATTAAACATACGACATTGTATGGTGCCCTAGTCTGGTGGACCAGAACAGCACTCATTACAGCTAGGAAAGAACTTAGTCGCATACAGAGAATGGCTACTATGGCCATCACTGGAACATTAAAAACTACACCAACGGTCGCATTAGAGGAACTAATCGGATTGCCTCCTCTGCATCTAGAGGTTAAAGCTCACGCCAAAGCGACAACACTAAGATTCCACAACTTAGGTATGTGGACTTTGGAGAGTGACAAAACTGAGCATGGTAAAATACTAAAAGAAATAGACCAGGGCTTTTTGGAATACCTCTTGAACTATATCAAACCGGTTCTTAAGAATAACATTCCCTACAAAGTAGAAATCACTAAACGTAGAGAATAGAATATTAACCACCTGACTGAAAAAGGAGGATTTGTAATATATACAGATGGATCCGAAAAATCAGGAAAGATAGGTACTGAAATTTGGGTTTAAAGCCACGAATAAATGTAAGTATGTCATTCGGCAAAACATGCTCTGTTTTTAAAGTAGAGGTAATGGCGATACTGGTAGGTGCTCAGAACCTGATAGTATACAAAAATATAAAGATAACTATCTTAAGTGACAGTCAAGCGGCTTTGAAAGCATTCTGCAATTGTCAGGAGAATTCAAAGCTGGTCCTCAAATACAGGGAAACTTTAGAATCATTATCGAGGTTCAACAAAGTTACTCTAGCGTGGGTACCAGGACACAGCGGTGTCACTGGAAATGAAAATGCTGACTTTTTAGCCAGGAAAGGAGCAGAGAACACCTATGTTGGACCAGAACCAGTGGTAGGACTCATTGAGCAATCGCTCAAAGCGCTACCCAAGAATTGATGCAGAGAACCACACAGAAAAATCTGGAAGTACTTGGTTGTACCTAGACAATCTAAAATGTTTATGAAGGCCCCCGGTCTATTGCTGGGTGATCTTAATAGCATAACAAGACATAAAATAAGCCCCTTGACTGTTTTACTGAAAGGACATGGTCACCTGCTTAAACATCTTAACGCAATGGGGGTATCGGAATCACCTTTGCGCAGGAAGTGTGGAGTAGAAGAGGAAGACTCATTTCACATCATGTACGAATGTGAATCCTTGTTCACACTAAGATCAAACTACTTGAGTAAACCTTTTCCTAAAAAAGAAGTTATTAAAAACCTAAAACCCAGAGAGATACTTAATTTCGCCAGAAAAACAGGACTCGTTGGTCATCTATAGAGGTGACTTTATGGTTGGTATAATGTATTAACACTTCGGTGATAACACTTAGGTGGGTAAACCGAATCAAGATAATTCGGTATGAGGTGCGCACAATGAACCAACAGGTCTGAGTGCATGGGCATTATGTCCACCTCGATAATAACTAAAACTAAAACTAAAAACTGCAAGAGTTAATGCAAATGAATATTTATCTCATCATGATAATTAGAGCTATGTAAAAACATTAATTTGTATAATAATTTGTAATAACACTATTACTAATGTTTATTATAAGACCCAATCTAACAAATTTAAAAACCCTTATTCTAACAGGAAAAGCAAATTGACTGCTCCTGACACAATAGATCAACTTTAAAGTAAATGTTACAATTCATTTAAGGTTAATCTACCATAATATCGGCCACTTCAAGATGAAGCCTCAAAGACACCATTAAACAGATTGGTACGAGATTGATTTGAAAAATTATGTTCGAAAACTTTAAACATACTATAAACGTGTTTTAAATAAAAAAAATAAATTGATCATTTGAATTTCATCATAAAAACTATACATCGTTAAAAATAGTTTTTTATGTAGATGTTTTAATATAATTGAATACTCTATTAAATATGTTTAAAATAGAAGCAAGTGCAATAAATTAAAATACTAAATTTATTTAAAGTAGGATTTTCAATAACACGATATTTTGTTCATTTATACGATGAAATCATTATAGTTGTACTTAAATTGTCACTAAATATATTTAAAAATGATAAGTTATAATATTTATTTGACTGGCATTCTGAAAAAAATGTTTGTTATACTTATTTTAACAAATAAAATTCTGGCGGTAAATGAGAAAATATATATGAAAGTAAGTCTAAACGATTCATAAAGATATTTAATTATAAAGAATCGAAATCAAAAAGGTTCAATTGTTAATGTAACAGGGTTATTCCTAAAAATATTACAAAAATCATTAAAAGCATATAAAAAATTTTCTTTTAAAACAATTAAAAGCTTGTAAAAGTTATCAGTATTTTATAGTAAATATAATCATATAAAATATTAATGTAAACGTGGAAATATATTTAAAATTATAAATTTATTATTATTTATTATAATTAAAGTATAAAATTAAAAATAATACAAATTTATTTACAATATGATTTTGTTAACACGAACCACTTAAATAATAGAATTATTAAAATAATTTAATTATAAATTATTTTGGATAGTTTTTTTGTTTTCTCAATAAAATATTTCTTAAATTTTCAATTATTTAGTACATTATTGATTCATCTTATGAACTTTTAATGGTGTAAACTTTATTTGTTTTACTGAAAATTACATATTCAATTAGCTAATAAAATAGAAACTAATTTAGTTAAGAAAATGGCTGGTCGATAATAATTATGAAGAAATAATTTTAGCTTCTATATGCTGATCGAATTACTTTGGGAAGGAATTTTTTTGTTTGTTCAAGAAAATTCATAGCTCTTACTAAACTGATTTTGATAATCAATATGTTAAAAGAAACTGATTTCAATGTAAATGAACCAATCAGTATCAAAAGTTTGAAAATACCCTTGTTTTTAGAAATTAAAAATAATAAGATTTCCTTTAGTGGTTTTAATATTTCAGTGAAAACTCCGAAAAAAATACTGTATGTATCAAGATGTACATAGTTACTTTAGTTATCTTGGAATCAAGTAAACTAGGTACTCAAATCAAATTATTCTTATCATTACTTAAAAGTCATTTTCAATGAATTCTTTGTTTCTATAGGAGTAAAAAATTTCTCTCGATACTCTCTTGTTACACATTGTTGGCTATATTTTAAATAAATGATAAAATTTACTTTTTTTTTACTTTTGTTAGTTACATATGTATCTCCATTTGTATATCACAAAATATTTTTTATGTTCCTAACTTATATCTTATAAGAGTGACAACTTCTTTTTTAAATAAAATCATGCATAATCAACTTGTTAATAAAAAAAAATATCTTATTAAAAAAATTAAGAGAAGTTGTCAATAACAACTTTTGAGTGGCTTGCATTAAAATAATCTTTCTGTAGACATTTATTATTTTTTTACTTTAAATGCCAACTTGTGACATTAATAGTATTTCTCTCATAATTTTCAATTTCTTGTTTACTTCATTAAAGACTTAAGAAAATCATTTATATGCATAAATATTCAAATCATTTAACAAATTTTAAAATTATATTTTTACATGTGTTTGCTTACAAAACAAACAATGTTGATCAAACATTGAAATCATTCACAGCTGATTATTCTATACAGAGAGAAGAATTTAGAAATCATTATTACTCACGATAGCTGTATAGATCGTCTAATTTAGTATAATTTTTCATAAAGTGCTGTTTTTTAAATCTTTTAATGTTTTTAACTTCATGTTAAGAGTCACTTAATCATTTCATGTGACTACTCACAAACATAACTATTGTCTTTTTACGTTATTCAATCGAATGTTATTATTAGGAAACAATAACATAATAAAATTTGTCTTTTTGTATACATTTAATAAATTGACTTAATTTCAAAAAAATACCTTTTTATCTTACTTAAATGAGCTCATATTTATAATATGATATAAAATTCAAATTTAACGACTTCAAAAACATATTTGTCAACCTAAATGACAATATTAATAGACATCATTTATATTATATGAGTTTTAGCGAACTTTTTTTCTGTTTGAGACCACTGTGCTTCGCCTGTTAACAAAAAATTCTATTTGTGTTATACTAGTTTAAGTTTAATAATTAGTAATATTATTACAACTCATATTTGTAATATGTAGGAATGTAACAAATAAAAACATTCTCTAGAGAATTTTATCGGTGATGGAAATATTTTTTAGAATATTCTGTTGCAGATTATTATGGGAGATATCTAGGATTCTCTATTTCTTTTATAATTAATCTTATATCATTCTTTGTATTAGGCTTACCTAAGTATATAATTTTATAATTAATTCAACATTCCACGTACCTATTCTTACTTTGTATCTATATTTCTCACTTATACATGAGTTCAGCCTAGGTTAAGTGATGATGTTTCTAAACCGTTGACAGTTCAAGCGTTGAATAGGCCTGTACACATGACTGGTGAAACAGCTAACGCACAAGTTTTCCGGCTGTTATCAGATACTATATTCTTTAGGCCTTTTTCGTCTTTAACTACTTTATTTCCTCTCATTTATTGTTCTCGCAAACATTCAATATAGAACAATCCAACTAAAATCTGTTCAGGACTCCTCATACTTTTTGATAAAATTTGACATCTGTTGCCGGCTTAACGCAACTTCATTAATTACCTTATTTTATATTGTTCTATTTTTTAAATAATTTTTACACCTAAAAACTATAAAAATATCATAAAATATAATAGTTTTTTAATTTATTAAAAAATAAAATATTAATTGAATAAAAAGTTATTGAATTTGTCAAAGCATCGTGGACCATTCTGTATTCTTAAAAAAAATATAGAAACAATTAATTTTTTTAAGATATTTAATTAAACTTAAATATTATTTCAAATACCTTATGAATATATATTGAAAATGAATAATGAAAAAATAATTTTTAATTTGATCAAAAATATCTAAAATTAAAAAAAATACATTATTTAAAAAAAAAAATTCTATAATTTCTCATCTTGAAATTTTTATTTTCATGACTTAATTTTTTATTTGTTAATATTTATTTTAAGTAGGCTTTTAATCGTATTATCTATAGCATATTTCGGCCTATTCCTGTGGATAGAATATAAGGATACTTCCTCGGCCCCTCTACCAGTTGTAAAAGGCGACTAATGATGTAGCGTCTGGCCGTCAACAGGTATAAAATTTTATTAAAAAGTATGAGGAGTCCTCAATAGAATTAGTTGGATTGTTCCATATCGGATGCACGCGAGAACAACATGTGAGAAGAAATAAAGTAGTTAAAGTCATATAATGAAGATTTAGGAAAAGGTTATTAAATGCGATACGAAGAAATCTGATGTGTACTTAAATGATGTGGGAGATTGTGTCAAGTAGAAGTTTAGGTATAAGAGTGACGGTTCACAAGTAGTTAGGATAACGGTGATGAAAAAGAAATAAAGATATCTCAGCCTTACTTCTTCTGTCAAGGTGTAATAATGTTTTAAACTTTCAAAATATTAGTCAAAAAGTTATTATCGACTAGTCATTTTCTTAATTAGATCATTATCATAATCATCATCTTTTATAAAATTTGATAGTTATATATGTATAATACCATTTGAAAATAAAAAGTTGATGCACTTAAATGGTAAGAGGTGAATATAAAAAATAAATTGAGAAAACATGGAATTAAAAAATATTCCATCACTAGACATTTTTTATCATAAAACACTTACTGTTTAAAAAAGATATTAATTAGTTTTTTTTACTTAAATTATATTATTATTCTATATCTGAAGTTTAAATATTTTGAATAAAAATGGACAAAACTTCAACAAGAAATGTTTTGATAATAATAGTTGTGATTGGATGAAATTACTGTCCCTTATAAGGGATAGTAATTTTAGTTAATTTAATATGAATTATGATTTATAAAAAAAAATATTTTAACTGAATAAAACATGATTTAATTCAGGTATACAAAATACAGTTGTTACATTTCTGCAGTTTTTTCAACTAAAACTATATCATGTAAAAAAAAAATACCAAAAATCCATAACTTACCAAAAATTAATGCTTAATTAAAAATTAGTACATTAATAACAGTATTTTTTTTCTTGTTGAATATTATAGCCCCCTGATTATAACAGTACTTTTTCCCCTTCATTTTTACATGTAATAAGCACATTTGAAAACGATATTGCATCATGGATTCTTGTAAATTATAAAAATGAAATTAATTATTCACCAATAAGTCCAGATGATGTAAAATTATTATCAAAAGCCTGTGAAAACGATTATGATTGTATACAAAAAAAAATTAATAGTTTAAAAAACTTAAAAGTGATACTCGAATCTTTGGAATGTTTTCATGTTTTATTAAGTCTTCAAATTATAAATATTCTTGAAAGCGATATGGCAAAAAGAAAAGAAAATTTAAATCATAAATCTTTATCAGAATTTAAATATCTAAAAATATACCCAGTAAGAATGATATCATTTTTTACTTATGGCAAATCTGTAGTTAACCCTTGGCAGTTTGACTTTTCAACGAAAGTTCATGACATGATAAGATTTGAAAATAGTAAAGATAATACATTTGAATTACAAAATTTTGAATATGTAAACAATTCATCATTATTAACATCTATGAACGAGTTTTGCGAAAATTGTGAAAAATCTAACCAATTTTTTGCATCATTTACATCAGTTTTAACTAAAACATACCAAGGTAAATCTTGTCCATTTATAAATCCTGATAATGTTAGATGTTATATAAAGAAAATGTTGTCGAAAATAAATATTAGCTGTATAATTAAAATGGACAGAATATCTTATATGTCGATAAAAATAGGTAATTATATATAAAGTTTTTATTACGATTTTTAAATTAATTTAATATTTTAAGGTTAGCCATTCTTAATCAAATTATAACACTTGTTCAATTATGATAAATCATCCATCAGTCAAGCAATTTTTACAATTTTGCAATTGTAAAATTACAGAGGCATTCATGGGTAAAACTTATGCGTCATAGTATGAAGATTTGGAGTAATTTAATAGACAAATTAATAAGAGAGGATACATCAGTAACAAAGAACGAGTATGGTTTTATGCTTGGAAAGTCAACGATGGAGTCAGATTTTTATGCAAGACAATTAGAAAACTATAGGGAAAAGAAAAAAAGCTTTGTATTTATAGATTTGGAGAAAGCGTATGATAGAGTACCGAGAGATGTTTTAAAATGGGCATTAATGAGAAAAGAAGTCCCAAAGAGGTACATTTATATAATATAGGATATGTATGATAGCACTTGTACCAGGGTTAGAGTGTTGACGGAGCAACAGAATAACTTAGAGTAAGTGTAGAAGTATACCAAGAATTTGTTTTAAACTCTTACTTATTTTCTATAACGATAAATAAAATTACTAGAGAAATACAAGAAGAGGTACCATGGTGCATGTTGTTCGCTGACGATATAGTGTATAATTGTAGATAATAGGGAGGAAATTAATGAAAGGCTACAGTTGTTAAGCAGAAGATAAGCTCTTGAAGGAAAGGTATTAAGAATAAGTAGGAGTAAGACAAAGTATATAGAGTAAGAGTTCGACAAAAGAGATCACGAAGTAGGTGAAATAAGTAGTTCAGTGACAACATTGACGTGGTAGGAGAGGTGGAAATGAGGTAAAAGAAGAAGAAAAGCAATTGTAAAATTAAAAATATATGTAATTTTGTTCAATAATAAGTTAATTATTATAAGGTAATTTTTTTTTTTGCGTCTGTTACCACTTTTTCTCAGCTCTCACCGAACCGATTTCTTTCAATGATGAGTCAAAAGATCACAAATTGTATCTAGTCGAAGACATTACCCTCAAAAATTGAAAAAAATTCCCTCGTTTCCCGTAAATGGGGGAAACCTCCAAAAAAATTACGAATTTAAAAATCGCTAATTTTCGAAATTTTTTCAAATTTTTTTACTTAAAAGTGCCATAACTTTTTTAAAAATAAACATATTAATATAATTATTTTTTATATAGATGCATAATATCATTACCTTTCATTTGGTATATTTTTTTCATAAATTTAACCCTTAACCTGCCCACAAGGGGGGATTTAAAATGACAACTTTTTCACAAAAAATTAATTTTTTTAACTTAACTTTTGAAAATGTTCCGGAAGGTCTGACACTTTTATATATATCTTAAATTAAAGCTAATGTAATTTACTTTATTATGCAAAAAAAAAATTTCGGACTTTATTTTATCTTCACGGTGAAAATGGCTACCAAATGCTATTTTTGTGTGAAAATTTTCGATTTTGTATTTTACATTTTTAACTTTATTATGCTATAACATTTTTAAAAGTGTATGGATCAACATTATTTTTTTATAAGAAATAATATTTTTTAATAATCCCTTTTTCATTCAACATACTTTATCTTAATTAGGATATTAATAATGAACTAGCAGATCATGTAGCTTTTGGAATAATCCACCAATTTTTTAAAATTAAACACTATCTAACGATTTGCATCAAAGCGTTATTTTTTGATAGTGATTTTAATCACTGTCAGATATCATTATACTTGATCCATCTATGCCACGTCACCACTGTGCCGCGACCCCCCTGTGCTGGGTTTTTTNACTGTGCCGCGACCCCCCCCCTGCTGGGTTTTTTTTACATATTTCACATGCACTACAAAATTGGTGAATAATTTTATCCATATTTTTGAAATAATAATAAGGTCTTAATTTTTCACTTAAATGACAAGTACCAATGTGACCATAATATTCATGTATTTTCTTAATTAATAATAAACCAAATTCCTGAGAAATGTAAATTCTTTGTCTATTTTTGAGGTATTTAAATTTAATATTTCCTTTTTCAAATACTCTTTTGGAATCCTTAATCTCAATTGCATTTTTTTGTTGGTCACTAATTATTTCTTCTAATGTAACCATATTTACAACTTTTAATATATCTTCTTCATTTTCAAAGTTTTCTAAAACTGGTTTTCTTGATAAGGAATCAGCTTCAATATTCTCCTTACCAGGTGCATGTATAATCCTAAAACTATATTGTGAAAGGTAATATATAAGCTCTCCAAGTGGTTCATCTGTCCTTGCTTTTACCTTTAACGTTTCTAATGGTTTATGGTCTGTAATTACAGTAAAAACTCTTCCAATTAACCAATGTTGCCAGTATACAATCGCTTCTTTTATCGCTAGACATTCTAAATAAATAATTTTTTTTTTTTTTTTGACTGGAGTTTAATTTTTTTGAGAAATAGGCAACCGGATGGAGAATACCATTTTCCTGAGGTTGTTTTAATACTGCTCCTATACCTTCTCCACTTGCATCAGTATAAATAAAAACCTCTTTATTTTGGCTATATATAGATAGAATTGGGCTTGAACATAGGTATTTCTTCATATTATTAAATGCTTGCTGACACTCTATTGTCCAACTAAATTTTACATCTTTCCTTAGTAAATTATGTAACGGTTCCAATTGTATTGCTGCATTTTGAATATATTTATAGTAAAAATTGATTTTTCACTAGGAATTGTCTAATATTCTTTTTATTTGTTGGTTACTTAAAATCTTTAATTGCTTTAAGGTTATCTTTCAAAGGTGTAATTGAAATTTTCTCAATTTTATGTCCCAAATATTTTAAGGAATTTTTTGCAAAATCACATTTCAACAATTTAAATCGAAAGCCTTCTTCATTAATTGCTTGTAATAAAGCTTCTATATGTTTCACATGTTGTTCAAATGTTTTTAAGAAAACTAAAATATCATTTATATAATTTATACAAAAATCATTTAAATTATATCTCCTTAATATATTTGCTAAGGTTCTTTGAAATATTGCAGGGGATATTTTTAAACCAAAAGGTAAGCATGTCCATTGCCAGTGTCCGTCTTGAGTCACAAACGCTGTTTTCTTTCTATCTTTATGCCTAATTGGAATAGACCAAAATGCTGAATTTATATTAAAAGCTGAAAACCAGGTACATTATCCTGCCTTCACCATTATGTCTTCAATTCGAGGAAATGGCTGTGGCTCAGGAACAACTAATTTATTTAATTCTCTAAAATCAATACATAAACGAGATCTACAACCATCTTCTTTTTTGTACACTAGTGTAACTGGGGCTGCAAAAGGCGAATTAGTTTCTTCAATAAGACCCGCTTCTAATAAATTTGTAATTTGCGATTCTATTTCTTTTTGATCAGGTATTGAACATCTGTATGGTTTTTTTGAAATATATTTATCTTCTGTTAATTTAATTTGTGCTTCTTCACATTTAACTCTACCTACATCATATTTATTCTTAGCAAAAATTACTTTATATTTATTAATAAGGTTCATTATTATTATTTTATCTTTCTCATTTAAATGTTGTAAATTAGTTTCAAAAATACTAACATCAATATATTCATTCAAATTTAATTGTAGATCATTCTTTTGTTTTTCTTGACAATTTACTAATTCACTTTCTTTTTCATTTATTTTTTGAAAAATATTTAAATTTTCATCCTGTGACAATTTAAATATTTTAATAGCATCTAGACCAAGTAATAAATCATATGAAAAATTATTGTTTTTTATAACATATACATCTAAAACTTTTTCAATTTTATTAATTTTTAAATGCAAACGTGCCCGGCTATTGGTAAAATTTACTCCACTTATTGTTTTAAACAAACTATGATTTTCAAAAAATTGTGTTTTTAATTGGTTTATAATCTTGTGATTAACAAGTGTAATATTTGAACCACTATCATAGAGACCTTTTACTTTTTTTGATTTATTAATTAATACGTTTAATGTTATAAGCGGTGTAAATTTTTCCAGGCGATTTAGTTTTTTTGGTTCTCTAGTTCAATATCCAATAGTTCATCAAATTCAGTTTGATTGACTTCGGATACATTAACATTTCTTTTTTTCAAATATTGTAGCTTGTTCCGACAAAGTTGAAGTGGATGATAACGATTAGGTTTATTTAGAGCCTCACACATATAACAAGGCTTTTTTTCAGAAAATCCTTTTGGTGCTACATTATACTTCTTGTCAACATTACTCTTTCCCTTTATAATTACATTATTATTATTATTATTAGATTTCATCTTATCATCTTTTTTATATTGGTTTTTTTCTGAATCATACATTCTCATTTTATTCATTAATACATCTGTACTTGTTATCTCCTCCTTATCCAGTTTATCTTGTACATTTAGCGGTAAGCCCATAACAATCAAATTTATTCTAGATGTATTTGACATAGAACTCTCAATTTCTAGTATTAAACGTTCCTTTTTTAGAGCATAGTCAATTAATGATCCATTTAAATATTTAAAGTTATATGCAAATCTGACATTTGCCCAACTTTTATCAGCATACACTTGTAAAAAGGACCCTACCCAATCTGACCATTTGTTTATTGATAATTTTCTTAAATTTGAATTATACCATTCTTTTGCACTCTCTTCTAAAAAAAATTTTAAACTTTGTATCTTCTTAATTTCCTCTATGACTTTATATCTAACACACTCTTTTTCAAATTGGTCTAACCATTCTTTTGCATTCTGTCTACCGTTAAATTTATCTATGATAAATTTTTTTTCTATATCAGCTAATGATATCTCTCTTAATTCTAATTGAGCTTTTAAATCCATACACAATTTCATTAAATCATTTTTATCATCCACTACAAATGTATTTTTATCTGCATTAATTTTTTTTTCGTCTAATTCGTCAAGATAATATGATCTGAATACAAAATTACGTTGGTCATCAGTGTACAATGCACTTACCTCTTCCGATAACATAACCGTTATATTACGAAATTGTCCTTCTTTTACCATACTCTTGCATGCGTTTTTCACAATACTGATTTGAAACAATTCTTTATGTAGATCTTCATGTTGCCCCTTTACGGGAAATGCATACTCAACTGTATCATCCAAAAATCTAATTGTTTTTACCATATTAACTAGTTGACTAGTTAATCTTTTAAATTATCGATTTGTAATTTTGTTCAATAATAAGTTGATCGATTCTACAATAAAGTGGTTTATTAATATTAAATTGTATAACAAATACACACATAAACAATAAACAATAAAGAATCGATAATTTAAAACTGTATACTCTTTAAATTATATAAAATAAAAATAATTATAAATTATTAAAAATGTTACCATAGATTTTACACCTTAAATCTATATGATAATACAAATTACAACAGTGATCACAGTGTCCCTATAAAAGTGCCGCCACTGTTATACATATAAATTATTTTAAAATTTAGCAGATTCGCATAAAAACATTGTTTAAATAAAAAAGTCAATCACGGTCAGATATTTTCAATAATACCGCGACACTACTGAGTTTTTTAACTTCGATGCGCAGCTGAGAAGTTATTAATTTTAACATGATATGTTTTCTTTTTTTTGATGTCTGTTGCCACTTTTCCTCAGCTCTCACTGGACCGATTTCTTTCAAAAATACGTCAAAAGATCACAAATCATATCTAGCTGAAGAAATTACACTTAAAAATTGAAAAATTTTCCCACGTTCCCCACAAATGGGGGAAATCTCCAAAAAATTACAAATTTAAAAATCGGTAAATTTTGTCATTTTTTCACTTTTTTTTCTCAAAACTTCCATAACTTTTTCAAAAATCAACAAATCAACAATTATATTTTTATTCTAAAATCTTAGATATTTTCCTTTCATTTGATATCATTTTAACCTGTCACTGGGGGAGGGGTTTAAAATAGCAACTTTTTTTACAAAAACTAACTTTTTCAACTTAATTTTTGAAAATGTTCCGGAAATACTGCATCCTTTAAACATATATCAAATTAAAGTTTATTTTATGTACTATAAAATGAGAAAAAAAAATTTGTCGCGACACTTTATTTTCTGCATGCAAACGGCTGCCGTAGTTAAAAAAAACGCTATTTTTGTGTCAAAATTTTCGATTTTAAATTTTCAACTTAAAAATGCTATAACTTTTCGAAAAATGTATGTATCAGGACAAATTTTTTTTTTTAAATACATTATAAGTACATCTTTCATTTGACATACTTTTTATTAAAATTGAACAATTTCCCTTTTTATAGGGAGCGTTCAAAACTTGAAACATTGTATAAAAAATAGAACTTTTTCAGCTTAACTTTTGAAAGTGTTCCGGAAATACTGCGTCCTTTAAACATATATCAAATCAAAGGTTATGTTATATACTATAAAATGAAAAAAAATATTTGTCCCGACACCTTATCTTCTATGTGCAAATGGCTGTCGAAATTTAAAAAAAAAATGTAATATTTGCGATAAAAATCATCTTCTATCGGGATGTTTTTTGTACTTAAAACTGACATAACTTTTTCAAATATTAACAAATCAAAATAATATTTTTTTATACTAAAACCTTAGATATTTTCCTTTCATTTGATATCATTTTTTTGAAAATCTAACACTAAACCTGCTCATTGGGAGGGATTTAAAATAGCAACTTTTTTTACAAAAACTAACTTTTTCAACTTAATTTTTGAAAATGTTCCAGAAATACTGCGTCCTTTAAACATATATCAAATTAATGCTTATGTCATGTACTATAAAATTAAAAAAAAAAAATTTGTCTTGACGACCTATCTTCTATGCGCAAATGGCTATCGTGTTCAAAAATATGCTATTTTTGTGTTAAAATCCTGGGTTTTGTATTTTATTTTATTTTAAAATATCTTATAAGGGCAATACACTGTCCTATTTTTTTATAATTATTATTTTTATAATAGGCTAAATTGAATAACTTTTTTTTTATTGGTTTTTTTAGATATATAATCATTAAAATTAATTAAATTCTGAGTATTTCCATTGTAGAATCTTTTTAAACACCAAAAGTTAATTAGAAATGATTACTATGATTTTTATTTAAGTGATCTATTACGATAAAAATGTAAAAAAATCTAACTTTTCTGATAAATATACTGTAAATAGTAATTATAAAATTTGCTGACAGCATATTAATCTTAACAATTTCATTTTTATCTATTTAATAATGTCAATTTCAAACTTGCAAGTTGAGCTAAAAGTTATGGTAATAAGTTCATTTTTTTTTTTAATAAAACTTTCACTTTAAAGGACAATAAAAAGTAGGTTCAAAATTATTACTTTTAACATATTAAAAATCAAAATCAATAATAATTTGAAAACAATTAATTTTAAAAATTATATAATATATAATTAAAAGAATTACTAATCTGGGTATAATTAAGGAAATATATTGCTTTTGTAATTATCCTTCATTTTTTTAAAATTAAACATTATCTACAGAATTGCATCGAAGCGTTTCTTATGATAGTGATTTTAATCACTGTCAGATTAAATCTATACTGGACCCAACTATGCAACGTCTCCACTATGTCGCGACCCCACTGTGCTGGGTTTTTTTTCATATAATTTACTTCAATTTTATTTTATTCAATGTGTTTTAAAAAAAGTTATATCAGATTTAAAACGTAGGAAAAAATTTTTGAAAATATTTTTTTTAAGGTAAAGTATTTTAAAGATATTTTTTTTTAATGTCTGAAAATCAGTATTATTTTTTTATTTTGGGCAATATTCGACTATACTTAACTATTAAATAATCCAATGCCTTTTCAGCTTGGCATCAAAGCTAAAATTAGCATTAAATAAATAATAATATCCAAAAGTATAATTTATAAAAATATGATTATTTTATAAAACTTATAATACTATAGAGTAATAATAAATATTAAGAATTTAATGTTTTAAATACCAAAAGAAAGCTTATTGTCTCTAGTATATTTTATAACAAGAAATTAATGTTCTTAATTATAAATATTATTAGGAATGAATATTCATATATTTTTGTTTACGGATATTATTAAAATTCGTTATTTTTTATATTAAGTATTTTGTATTAGAGATTATAATTGGGATCATAATCACTTTCAACATTTTTTAAATTTCCAATTAAATACTGTATACAGGGTGATTTTTTTATCACAACCCACTCAATTACTTGCAGAATAATAATAATTTAAACATTTTTTTTTTTATTATCTTTAGTTACACATTATTCTTGAATTTTTAACTATGTAATACTTTTTAAGTTCATCCCTTATGCCTTGGAGGGGGGTCAACTTTGTTTTTTTAAATGGAAACACATATTTTTAATTTAATAAAATGTTTGAGTTTTTAATTTAATAGTAAATGGCATTTGAATTTTTAATATAACTTTATTAGCTTATTAGATATAAACATTGAAAGTTTCAAAATTTTGAGTTAATATACATGTATAATACACATGGGATTGTAAATACAGGTAGCTAATTGGATTTTTATGACATTGCTGTCTCAGTCACGGATTGTTTATTATCAATTATGATTATCAATAGATATACTTTCTGTATTGTCAGTTAGTGTATTTATAAACTCATAACAATGTGCCTTACTACAATTGATAATAACAATGCTGTGTACCTGCTAATATCGATGTTATAAAAAACCAATTAGCTACCTATATTTGTAATCCCTTGTGTATTATACCTGTATATTAATTCAAAAATTTGAAACTTTAAATGATTATATCTAATAAACGAATTAAGTTATATTAAAAATTCAAATGCCATTTACTATTAAATTAAAAACTCAAACATTTTATTAAATTAAAAATATGTGTTACCATTTAAAAAAACAAAGTTGACACCCTTACCAGGCATAAGGGATGAACTTAAAAAGTATTACATAGTTAATAATTCAAGAATAATGTGTAACTAAAGATAGTAATAAAAAAAAAAATTTCAATTATTATTATTCTGTAAGTAATTGAGTGGGTTATGATAAAAAAATCACCCTGTATATTACATTCGAAAAATATTTAATTAAAACGTAATAACTAAACGTATTTTGGATATGTTCACGCTATTTAATATTATTTTTTGCTAAATAATTTTTTATTTTAATTATTTTGGTATAGCAAACCAACAAAAAATAAAAATTGACCCAGATTTAGAAAAAAAAAAACATGATTTTCTTAAAAGTCTTAAATTAAGTAAACAAGAAATTGAAAATTATGAGAGAAATACAATTAATGCCACAAGTTGGCATTTAAAGGAAAAAGAAATAATAAAACGTTTACATGCTAGTAAATTTTATCGTTTATGTAAGATACTGCCAACAACGTGTAACAAGAGTATAATGAAAGAAATATTACACACCAATAGAAAAGAAAAATTCAGTGTAACTGATGAAAACGATAAAACCAGGAATGAATTGTAAGTAATAATACGAATAATTTGGTGTGTGTGAGTACATAGTGTATTTGATATCTAATGTAACTAGGTACACCCTAATACATTGAGTATTTTTTTTCGCAACTTCATATTTGTTTTTAAGTATTATGAAATCTATGACAGGAATAAGGAATATGTATCAACTCATTCTTTACCATTAAGCATTTCTCCGAAACACATTGTCCATTTCTCCATTCTTCCTTCTGGGTTCATTACTAGTTTCTCACATTCATTTTTCATGTCCTCTATATCCTCCTTTAAAGCTATTTACTTTGTAGTACGAATATCGCAACTTGCGTATTTTGTAATCTTGTTTTGCTTCTTATTTTATATTATAAAAATATTTTTTTAAATCACATTTTATAATGATATGAGCTTCTTTTCATTTTTAATCTAAAGTTTCTTTCTTTTTCATAATTGTTAACATCATTTAGCCATCTTTCTCTTGATATTTTTCTTCTGTCCAGAGATGCTTGGCATATTGTATGAAACCATTATTTGTTCATTCTACGGGTTTTTCCTTACGTTTCTCTGGTACTTTTCTTGAGATATCATTAATAACATTCAATTGGTCATTTATTGATTATGGATTAAAGTTTACTTCTCTTATCATTTCAAGTATGTTATCTAGCCCTTCAATTCTTATACACATTTGCCATAAAAATTATAACACTAAATTATTAAATATCAATTTCATACTATACTTAATTGCTATTAGAAATATATATATACATATATTATATTTGTAAATCAAAAAACTACAAATCATGAATAATGAAGGAAATATGAGTTCATTTTATTTTTGGAATAAAACACCAATTTGTTAAAATTAAACACTATCTACAGATTTGACTCAAAGCGTTTCTTATGATAGTGATTTTAATCACTGTTAGATATCATCTATAGTTGTCTCAACTATGTCACTTCAACACTGTGCTGTGACCCCACTGTATTATCGTTTTATCATATCATTGTAATTTAATTTTTAGGTATCGCAATAGTTATGGCAGAAATAACGAAAATGTAGCAATAAAAGAATTTGAAAACAAAATGAATATAAAAATTGAACCATGTGGTGTATTTATTGACGAGAATTTGAATTATTTAACTGCAAATCCAGATGGTTTAATTGGAAATGATGGTATAGTTGAAGTGAAATGTCCTTTTAAAATCAGAAACATGTTTCCAGAAGTTGCTATTAAAAAAAATAAAATGAAATACGTCCATTTTGATAAAAATGGGAATCTTGTACTTCAACGCAATTCTAAATATTTTTATCAAATTCAAGGAGAATTACATATAACAAAAAGAGACTATTGTTATTTAATAATTTGGACTCAAAAAGGTATTTCAAGAAATAACTGTATTATATACAAAAAATATTAGAATTATTTAAAAAAAAAAGATATTAACCTACAAAAAAATATAATATATTCTATAATTATTTCCCTACATATTCTTATAAAATTTGATTTAGGTCAACTAATTTACTAAATATGGTTAAAATGTTCGAATATCTGAAATCAATTAGATTCTATGCTCTACGTGAATTTTTCTAGTACAAAAATTCAATACAAATTTTAAACAACTTCACAAGAATATTTTTAAATACTAAAATCTACAATTGATAACACTATTAATTTTAATATTATATTTCTTAGGAATGACTTATATAATTATTACTCGTGATGACCAATTTTGGAAAGATTATATGGAAAGGGAACTAATTGATTTTTATGAAAACCGTATGCTACCTGAATTAATCAGCCGTTAATTATTTGGAAACAATGAAATTTAAATTACTATGGGTTTATCGCAAAATAATATCTAATAATAAGTTGAGTATATTTTTTGAAATTTTAATTTTTCTATATTTATTTTTTTTTTAATTATGTATATTTAAAATGTGTTATTTGATCATTCTGAAAATCTGTAAAAACTGAGAAACGTATGGTACAGTATATAAGACGAAATGTTATTTTTATGTTTTATATCATTATTACTTATTACTTTTGTTTATATATTAGAATTTAGACTTGTTAATAATGATAAAACAAATATTTGTTAAAAGGTTTCATTTTTAAAATATCTTAAAAATTTAAATCATGTTTTGTTCTTTGTTTGGTCAAGCAACAACTAATTATCAAGTTAGTAAAAAACATTAATTTTGTTCTCCTTTGTAAAATTGCACAACTCAAAATCCTATATTTGAAATTATTCAAGAGGGAAAAAAGAAAACGTCATTTTTGTATAGCTAATACTGGAAATAAAATTTTTATCACTCAAATATTTAAAGAAATAATATATTTATTTTATTCTAAAAATGCTTTAAAAAAGCGTCACTATTGTAAGTATGTAGTTTTCAAAAAAAAAAAATAATAATGTCGTGTCCCGCTATTTTGCCATGGAGATGACAAAATATATTTTATAAGTAATCGATTTAAAAGTTTCAAATTGTTATATCGTTTTTCCAGAAATGAAACTGAAATATTTTTTATACATTTTATAAATATTATTCATATTGAAAAATGATTCAAAAAGTTTACATAAGTAGTTTTAAAACTTAAACACTAGTCTCGTATTCAAATAAATTTTCCAAGTTAAGGATATAAAATAATATATTATTATGATTTACATGACAAATGCTAAAGCATGTTAAATGCTATGGTGTATTCGAATGCTATCGCGTGAGAACTGATCTCGGTCACTTGGTGATGCTGTACAGAGCTTACATTACAATAATGGCAACGATAAGTTTGCGGTCATATGCATATTCGATATATTAAATTTCTCTTATTTTGAATTTATCTTCACTTGACGTAGGATGCTCTACCGTAACAATAGTGTATTTGCAATGATGTTTCTAGTTTCCACGATCATTATAATTGATAAAATGTATTGATTTCACTACTCTTTATTTGTGCATAAATGTAAATCGTTTTGAGTTGAGTAAAATAATAAATTTGAAATTAAATTTTAAAGTCTATTTACTGTTGGTTTAATCTTCTTACATAAAAGTTAACACTTTAATTTTTAACAGATTTAAAAAATTAGTTAAAAAAATGTTTAGCATTTCAACGAAATTTCTTAAAACAATTTAAATTATATTTAAAATCCATTAGTGTAATTAACTATTTAATTAATTTATGTTTATTAATATAACATTAATAGTATTAAAATGACTCCGTTAGGAACTTTATAACATGTTTTTTAGCAATGTCTTAAAGTATGAAACTGGGATATAGAATGCATACCTTGTTTTCATAGCTCTATTGTTAAAGCTCACTAAAATAAGTAAATATTAATTTATTATAGTTTTGATGTGAAACATATTTTAATAGCTTATAATAAATTGACGTAACGAAATAAAAAGTAATTTATTTATTAGCCACTTTTCAGATACTCTAATATACTTGATTTCTTTTAAAATAATAATTATGGTAATAAAATCTTTTATGGTATTATTTAATTTCATATTTTCCTTGATTAATCAAGTTTAATAATTTTTGCAATTCATCTTTTATACCTTATAAGTGTGTCAACTTTAAATTTTAAAGGGTAACATACATATTTCACTAACTTAAAAAATTAAAAGTTAAAAAAATGATTGGTTGATGACAACTTTTAACACATCTAAGAAATTATAACTATTTTTAAATATATTGTGGAGGTAAAGTGTAGATTATGTTATTTTACTTTTAAACATTCCTCTGCCACTCTTTTCCTCCGCTATATATTCTCTAAAATGAATTTTCTTTATATAATTATTATTTTAAGAAAAATCGAGTGACTAATATTAAAAGAATCACCTTGTATACAACAGTTTTATAACTTTTCATAACTTCTTCGTAAAAATTACAACACTAAATTAATAAATATAAATTTGTTACTATATTTAATTACTATGATAAATATTTATTCATATATTACATTTATAAATCATAAACTTTTGATCAGGATATAGATAAAGAAATTGGAGTTCGTGTTGCTTTAGGAATAATTCAATCATTCTTTCTAAAATTATATACTAGAGATTTGAATCAAAACAATTGTTATGATAATGATTTTAATCACTACCAAATATCATCTGTAATTGTACCAACTATGCCACTATGTCCACTGTGGTTCGACTCCGCTGTGCTGGCTATTATTTTTGTTAGAAATTGATAAATGTACAGCAAAAACATTGCTGATAATGTAAATATTAATATCGATATTATATTAAATGTTCAATAGTCTTGTTTTAAACCTTTCAATATTTTATAATTTAATTTTTATAAGTATCAATTAATTAACACTTTTAGTCTATATATTTGTCAATTTATATAATTTTTATAATATTATACAGTTTATATAAATTACCTGACAGGTAGAATAGCGAAATTGAAATGTTAGATGTAAGAGAATTAAACGAAAACTTGAGTAATTGGCGCAGGGGTAAGACAAGCCGAATGACAAGAACAACAAGGCGGAAAGAGATTTGTTGTCTACTACAAGGGATGCTGTAACACTGTTTACCCCACTACCTTCGCAATCATTTCAAAGGAAATTGAAATTGTCAATTCGTCTAAAGTCGGTGGCGATGCATTAATTTGGTGTCGTCCGGGATTTTAAACGGTTCCCCTCTCCGACCCAACTGAATTGAAATCGACTTATATACCCTATAAACATGCAACAACAAATTTATAATCCCTACAAGCAATACAGAATCTATACATTGTGTGCGCTCAGTTGTGTGTTTGCATGTACCCCTATTATAAGTATTATGATCACCTCTCTCATTTTGGACCCTTTATCCGTTTGTGTATGCTGATTGTTTTTCAAAATCCGTTTAAAACTTCTTTTTGTACTTTTAAATTTTTAGATGAGTCACCTTCACTATGGTAACTATATAAATATATCACGGATATACTAACGCGGTCAGTATACAATACAATGTTATTACACGGTTTTCAAGTTTTAAAGTTTATATGGATTTTACAGCAAACACACAAAAGGAACAATTTAAAAGCTATAACATTCTTTTTGCATTATTATGTGTAAAGACTACATTATGTTCATTTCATAATAACAATTATATTAAAATGAAATGTTGAGTTGTTTCGAATATATACAGATTACTTTTTGCAGAAATTTCCAAAAGCAGTTATTATTGATCGTTATTATTAGATTATCACTTATGATACCTCATTAGCATAAACATAAAAAGAATATATAAGGCTTAAAAGTTATGATTAAGAGCCGGAATAGTATTTTTTTAAAATAGCCAAAATATTATGTTTTTATTATATTTTATCTCATATTCTCTCAAAATCAAAATGTACTTTTATAAGCATAAAAAATCTAAAAACATACTTAGTTATTTAAAATTTTTATTTAATTATTTTTACATTTTTTATCCAAAGTAAAAACTCGTATTATCTAAGTATATATTAGAATATAATATAAACTTGAGATAATTGCTAAATAAAAGTTAATTGTTTTTAAATTATTTTGCATAAATGACATTTTTTCAAACAATTTTTCTGTTCAATAAATTATTACACAATAACAAAAACATTGAAATTCTATAAAAATTAAAAAAATTCTCTAATAAATTAATAAATTTCTATATTAATTATAACAATAAAAAACCTTGACTTTAAAATGAATATTTTTTTTACAACTTGATCTTTTTTGTTGGTGAATAATCACAGACATAAAGGTAACTTTTTTTTAATTTTTCTATCCCATTATCAGGTAATAGTTTCGTATTCTTATTTACTGAGAAGTTATTAGGAATGTCATTTTACGCTTAAATTATAGCGGTATTGAAATAACTGTATTTTAATACTTTAAAACATTTATCGTGTTGGTCGGAAAATGGCCGGAGGCTCAAAAAATGTTTAAAAGTCCATATAACTTTTCGAGTGCTGACGGATACCGTGTCGAATCTTTAAAAAATAATTGTTTTACACATGATAGAGGTGGGCGTACATTAACATTGAGATGCACGCCGTTTCTGTAAACATACACACAGTCGCGGTTCTTGTGTGTATTGCAAATTTTAATGCTTGACGAATATAAGTAAAATTATTATCGCGACAAGGCTATTAAAGGAAAGGCGCGTTACGTTAAATAAATATAATAAAACCAGTACAAAAGAAGTAGAAAAATAAATACAAATATCTCGATTTTGCTCCGTAATTACTATTATGAAGTGCATATTATTTAAACGCTTATACAAAATTTCGTTGATGTTTTGTAAAGTATTTCCTAGTACTGTCAGGTAAATTACAGGTATATATAGATACCACATTAGTGGACCATATGATGATAAATTGGCTCATTCTAAGTTTTTAACAATTTATATTCATTACAGGAATTTCAGCCATTGCATCTTTAATATAACAAATTATTTATACTTCACAAAAACCTATTAAATAAAAAAATTCAATTAGTTTAATAGACAAATGTAATTATCCAAAATCCTACGTAATTATATAGATAATTTTATACTTATTTATATAATATAGATAGAAATTATGTTAATTAGTTTTTAGTTAACGATATAAATATCGCATAACACTTCGAATTATTATATATTACATTAAGTGTAGGCTTTAGTCATTTATTGTACGGATAAGTTTCCTACTTGTATGGATTAAAAATATTAAGACTGTTTAATAAGAAATCAATTAAAAACAACATTCTTACGAGAAAATTAAAACCGTTAACGCATAAAATATGATAACACTATTTGTATTGTTTTATAAGTCTTTATTAATTGTGTTTTTAATTAATGAACAAAAGCTTGGAAAGTATTTCTACCATTATAACTCGATGCAAATAAAAATAATTCTCGAATAAGTAGTCTAAATATAGTAATTTTTTTTTATCAATTTTTACTAATTAACTATTTTAATGATTACTTTTTCATAAAAATTTCAATTAATAAGTTAAAAAAATAGTATTTGAATAAAAACTTCCATTTATTTATGTACGTTTTATTTTTTTTTTTCACTTTTTTGTCCATTAATGACTTAATTAGCATTTTTACCTTGCTGAATGTTGTTGTTGAATTTTATATCTAATGATTTTTGTTTAGATTTTTATATATTTTTTCTTACTTTAATAAAATATGTTGTTTTAATGAAGTTTCCTAGATTATAATGAACCGACTGTCTATTTTTGTCGTACGCATAAAGATAATAGTTAAATTTTTGATAAAGTTTAGTTTTGTTTAATATTGAATTTAGTTCATTTGAGATCATTCAAACATTAATCATAACTATATATAATGTTTTATTGTGTAACACAAAGAAACAGACGAGTGACAGCTATTGTCTCTTATGTTTCACAACCCCAAATACGCAGTAGTTGATTTTGTGGTGACAAAAATCATCCATATGATACAACAATAGGAACTCATCGGCATCATGAATCACGATTGTATTACATGTTAAATTGTGTGTAATCTCACAAGAATATTTGCGATATTAACGGAAACTATTAATATTTTATACGGATTAGTCATCCACAGTATACAGAGTGATCGGTTTGTCTTAAATCACTCGATTACTCTCATAATATATATAATATTGAAAAAAAAATTTTTTGATAATTTAGCTACATATATTACTTAATTTGTCAGCTATTAATTACTTTTTAGAATCAACCCTTATAATGAACAAATAATTTACAAATACTGATCATGTATATTTTAGATGATAAATATATTTAATTTTATAGTATAAGTATACGGTAACGAATTTATAACTTTCTCATATTTTTATTTGGCCAGTTAGATTTTGTTTTTGAGAATAAAGAATTTAACATGTGGCAGCTACACAATAAAAAATAAGTATGCGAATAACACTAGATATATTTTTTTATTGTCTCCAATTTATTAAAGCAAAATGGCGCTTCGAGAAACATCATAATAATACAATAATTTAAAATCTTTTTTAGAAATGTTCTTATTATTTAGGAATTTCGATGTTTCCACAGTTACCGTATTAAGTACAATTACATGCATGTATACTAATACTTTTTTATGTTATACGTATTCGAATTAAAACTTCTCTTCACAAATTTTCCAGTAATGTATAAAAAGTGATCTATTCACAAAATTTGTATTCAGTTTTTAAAGCTTGTCTCAAGTTATTAAATTGTTTCATTTATACAATAAATTTGTATGGGATGTTTTAAGTACAAAAATATATCTATAATGTCTCAATCTGCCGATTAAAATAATTGTAAAACTAATTTGTGTATTGTTGCTAATTTACACATTTTTTTAGTGGTTGACCTTTTAAAATAGACTAATGTCGATGTTATTTTGTTCATACTAATTGAAAAATTCATATTTTTTCATTGGGAAACAAAATGAGGTGTTAATTAAAAACTATCTTAAATGTGTGTGTTATGTAATATTTTCCTGGGTTTACTGCTTATGCTTGAACAATATCTTAAATATTTTGATCTTTATAATACAAGGATTAAAAACTACTTTGAGTTCATTCTACTGTATAATACAATAATATGTATAATATATTCCATGCATTTGATATATGCAACTGTGTTCATTACTTAACGTGAGAATAATGTGCATGGATTATGTGCGTTAGCAATATAACAACAAATAAAATATTTTTGATTGATCATGTGTCTTTAACGGCTTAATCGATGACGTATATTATGTAAAATAAGAATGTTTAGATTTTAGGTGTATGTTTTACGCACTTGATTAATAAGCATACAGTATTCAAACGCAACCCAAACATTTACTTGAGTTTTCCTTTGAAATAAAATTTCTACAATGAAATATCAATAGTCTGTGTGATTTTTCACCTGTTGTTTGAAAAATAAATTGTTTAATATGTTTTTTACATAAAAAATGTTCGATGTTAAAGTTTATAAAGGTTCATAGAGGTAAGTGCATTTTGATCCAATTACTAAATGATTCTGATTACTCAAATTGAATGTTATTGTATGAAAGCTTTTAAAAAAGAAATAATCATGACAGCCGAAGAAGGATAACAATATAAATATGCACTTTATAAACGAACTCTAAAAACTTACTTTTTGTGTTTTCAGTTCGATCATTAGCTTCCGTTACTCAAGGACTAAGAAACTAGTAATTACATGACTCTATTATAGATTGTTATTCATAATAATGGTTCACTACGCGTGTTTATCCTGATAATCAAAAAGTAGCAAGTAGCGTGTTCTAAAACGTAAGACCATTTGATTTCATTGTTTTGTGCAGCATCAAAACTACAACCTGATATTATAATATCAATGCAGACAGTACACGCAACACTTAATTCGTTTCATATTTTTCCCTCTTCTGACTTTTTCACATTTTAATGATATCCTTATTATACCCAATGCTATTATTTATGCCTCCTGTGCACTACACACTGCGATATTAAGACTACATGGCTACTGATTTTTCATCATGAACCGGCTTCTGGTAATGTTAACTTGGGGCGAAATCAATGCGTTTCCAATAATATTCTCACTGTCTTTCTGGTTATTTATTTACTGCATTACGTACCACCGTATTTAATTACACACATATTTTAGTTTCACTGGAAATGTTTGCCCATTTAGTCTGAGAAAACATACAAACTTATGTACTTCTTATGACTACGAAACAAATTGACATAGAAATGAATGAATGAATAATGTAACGTAATAACAAAAGCAAGTAATCATATTTATAATTGATTCTCATAGTTTATGCAATAGGTTCATAAAAAAAAATTATTAGAAAATAAAATTGTCGTTAAATATCAATAGGTTAGTAATAATTATAAATCACATTTACATAATTACATGGCATAATAGAATCGGTGAAAATATGGACCAATGAGTAGTGATGTATTAAAGGTTTCAGCGCCCCGGAGCAGTTTGTATTTGTAATCCCCTGAAATTTTTTGTCGAGCAAATAAATGATTATACAATTTTCCCCCAAACAAATTTCTGGCTTAAATAACTTAGAATATGCATAAACACTAGACAATAAATTATAAATAACATTACATATATTCATAATGAAGAAACATATTGCTCTTAAAACTTTAGGATCTATTCATAGAATCGCTCATGAATTTCATCTCTCA